AACTGCCACTCCCAGCCAACCCCAAACTGCCACTGCTTGGGGGAGGGGGCACAGGAGGCAAGGAGAGGAGGCAGCCTCCATCGCGGCTGGGCTCTCTGGGTGCCTTAGCTCCCCTGATCCCCCATCAAGATGGCTGCCCTGGTGTTCTGCAACGTGTGTTTCCGCCAGCCCCGAACGGCCACGCCCAGGTTCAGCCTCACCAATTGCGGCCATGTGATCTGTGAGCCGTGTCTTCAGAAAGGTAACGTCCTGCCACGAGAGGGGTCGTGCCCTGCTCTGCCCTGTCCCAGGCCATGCAGCTCTCTGGCCTATGGACCCAGGCAGGAAGAGAGGATGGCAAAGGCGGTCAAGCCTGCTGGGGCTTCAACCCATCTGGGTCACATCGAAAACTGAGCGATATTTTCCACAGGCTGGAACAATTTGTGCAGTAAGGGTGTTGAGCAGTGTTCCCTGCAAGTTGTGCCCTTGTGCAGCCGCTCAGGAGACATTCAAATGCTGCCCAGCTGATTAGCAGAGTGCCCATAGCTAGGTTCTGTTTCTACTGGTGGTGCACATGCCTCAGTGCACATAAAAACAGTATTCTGCACACGGATGGAAAAAATATGCCCATGGACGGGAAAGATTAGAAGGAACATTAGTGCGAAGAGCCACTGAATCAAACTGTAAACTCTTTACATAATAGAAACCACTCCAAGCGAGGGGGTGTGGTAGCATACCCATTACCCCAAGTTCTAGCACCTATGCTGGCTGCATTAAGAAATTATCTTAATCAGTGTGAAACAGAGTAGGTTTTTTTTATGAGGAGAATGTGGCATACCATTCCAGTTTCCCTAATCTCCATCTCAATATAATCCAAAGGGCTGCATGATATTTGTCCACTGAAAGTCTGAAATTTTCCTTTTTTTGAAAAAAATCATCAAACATAGCTTTCCTACCCTAGGTATTGTTAAAGTAAGTATTACCAAATGTTCTACATTTTTAAAACATTGAATTAACGAACACCTTATCCTGGTTTGATACTTTGGAAGTGTACCTTAGGTCCTCCAGCACACATGGCTTTAGTTAATGTCTGAGGCAAGAGATAGATGGTCTCTGCATGCACAGCTCAATTCAGATCAAGGTGGCAGACATGTACTGTCTCCTTCCCTCTGAAACACTATTTCATTTTGCTTTAATTTTAGAAAAGTTTTCAAAAACGGAATTTACATTATAGGATGGATTTTGCTAGTTGCTTCAGACATTTTAAAGTCTATTATTATTGTTATGAAATTTTCTTTATTTACATCATAACTGAGAGCTTCAGGACCTTTAAAAAAAGGAAAGTTTCTGCAACATTTCCAGACCCCCAGATTATACATCTGAGCTTGCAGCTACATTTTGAGAGGTCTACGGAGGCTTCTAAGGGGGAATCCAAAAAAGGGATTTGGGCTTTGTGCTTGAGAGAGAGAGAAAGAGAGAGAGTGTGTGCGCGTGCACGCACCCCCTCCTCTCAGTGTGTCTTAGTAGGTTTTATGCCCCAAATTTGGGGGTCTTTTTATTTTTTTTATAGTGTTTTAAAATTTTGTAAGCTGCCACGAATATTTTAAAAATATTTTAAATAAATAAATAAGTAAATAAAGTATGACTGAATGAATGAATGAATTTGTCATAGCAGCCAATATTTATTTATCTAGAAAATCATAGGAGCAATTCCGCAAACTACAGAGCCTAGTTAGCAGCCTCTTCTACAGTAAATGGGCAGTAGAGATATGAAAGGTTAACTGTTTAATCAGTAAGCATCACCTTCATGGTTACCACCCCTACTAAGGACTAGACACAAAATATGGCCTTTCTACTCTTTCCTTGTCATACTTTGATGTCATTCCAGCAGTTTTGGTTTTCCTGAGAGTTT